GTGTCTGCTGGACGGCCTAGTTGTGTCTGCTGGACGGCCTAGTGGTGTCTGCTGGACGGCCTAGTTGTGTCTGCTGGACGGCCTAGTTGTGTCTGCTGGACGGCCTAGTGGTGTCTGCTGGACGGCCTAGTGGTGTCTGCTGGACGGCCTAGTGGGGTCTGCTGGAAGGACTAGTGGGGTCTGCTGGAAGGACTAGTGGGGTCTGCTGGAAGGACTAGTGGGGTCTGCTGGAAGGACTAGTGGGGTCTGCTAAATGGCCTAAATGTAATTTGAGGTACCTGATCGTCCTGAGGGATCTCATGGGAAGCTTCCAAGAAATCCTGGGAATACAGAGGACGGGCCGGAGGGATCTCATGATGTTCCTGTGTGGAATCCCGGGAATACAGAGGACGGGTCTGAGGGATCTCCTGATGTTCCTGTGTGGAGTCCCGGGAATACAGAGGACGGGGACATCTCTCTGGGGTATTTCTGTTCCTGGATCCATCTGTAGGAAACACACACACACTGACTGAATACATTGTTTCTATGTCTTTATATCAGAGGATGTGTGTATCTAGGGGGGTCCTCAATACTCAGGAAATGAAAGTCTCCTCTTACCCGGTGATGTGAGGGGCGGCCGGTCCTCCATCATGACGTCCTTGTAGAGATCCCGGTGTCCTTCTAGATACTCCCACTCCTCCATGGAGAAATAGACAGAGACATCCTGACACCTTATAGGAACCTGACACACACAATGATACAGTCACCATCCAGACACATCCCTTGTCTGTTCCTGGATCATGTCCCAGAATTCCCGGCACCGCTCACCTCTCCTGTCAGCAGCTTAATGATCTTCTGGGTGACTTCTAGGATCTTCTTGTGGTTGTTTTTCCCAGGTGTCAGGGAGAGAGCTGAAGGCACTGTGATAGCTACGTGGTCACCAGACTTCACAGGAGGAAAACTCTGTGTCAAGAAAAACAATGATGTCATGTGACCTCCCAGAATCCTCCTCACCTCTCCGGTCAGGTCTGTGTTTTAGTAATAGAGATAAGAGTGATGTCATGTGACCTCCCAGAATCCTCCTCACCTCTCCGGTCAGCAGGTAGATGATCTCCAGGACAAGGTTTAATATCCTCTCAGTCATGTGACTCCCGTCCTCGTCCAGTGAGCTTTGCTCCTTTTGGAGGGGACTGATCATGATGAAACCTGTGAGAAGAAGAAGTAACATTATCTTTAATATAAGTATTATGGGATGGACTCACATAAATAAGAACTGAGGACGTGGGCTGCTGGCAGGTCAATGCTGATCTCCTTGGACTAGAGTAAATCGGATATTTGGTCCATATCGTTTCCACCAACTGAGAAAACAGATTTAAAGTCGTAATAAACACTCAGCAAATTTTACCTTAATTTGCTGTTGGCGAGCAGTGGCCATAGAAACAGAAACGCCTATTCAGTGCCGGGTTGGATCAGCTGTGGTTGCCACTGGCTGCACTTTGTGGTGGTGACTCCATGAGGCTCTGGGTGGTGAAGCTGATGGAACAAGCTCTAGATGCCCACCACTGATCAGTGGATGTTCTCATCTACCGGAGGTCACAAATCCATCCCTTAGTGGTTGGAGCCACTGGACAATCGGCAGCCCACTGGCGAAATCCACTACCATGAATGTACCGGAGGTCATGAACCAATCCCTTAGTGGTTGGAGGCACTGGACCAACGGCGGCCCATTGGCGAAATCCACTACCATGAATGTACCGGAGGTTTGCAAACCCATCCCTTAGTGATTGGAGTCACTGGACCATCGGCAGCCCACTGGCCAAATCCTCTATGCGTATGTACCGGAGGTCACTAAGGGATGTGATTGGAGCCACTGGACCATCGGCAGCCCACTGACGAAATCCACTACCATGAATGTACCGGAGGTCACTAACCCATCCCTGTTTTGGCCCCTTCAATACGCTCTTTCCAGGTTTCTACCTTCGAAAAAAACAAGTCCCCCTTGTCCATACTCCTAGTGATGGTCTGACCCACCCGGCACAGAAAATCGCCATTTTAATATCGGTCTCAGGAAGGGTTGCAGCTGTTTCTGTTACTCTGTCCTCGTGCAGACAAGCGGCCAAATGGCGTATTTTGTCTTTTTAGTTGATATGTAGAATTAGCGCTAATTCCGGGGTTATATGGGCGGGGATTAAGAATAATAAGTTTTATATTTGGGCAAACTGCACCGCGTGGGATGCACAGAACCGTCCGTGCGCAAAGAACAGCCACCTAACAGACATAATGTGGACCAGGTTCTATATTGGTGATGGCACAATGCTGTACCTAATATCATGTCACAATAATATCAACACATTACCTCCTCACTGTGCTGCAAACCCAAACAGAAAATCCCATAGACAGCCCAGGAAGATGATGGGAGGGAAACCTTAAAATTCCTGAAGGCTACAAAAAAATGGCCGCCACGCTCAAGTTACAAGAGTTCTGGTCCAACGAGGCCCAGAAGCAGGCGTTTCTATCTATTATATGAGGTACTTTTAGATCCATGAAATAAAAGAGAAATACGCTTCCAGTATTAAGACAAAAAGAAGAAACATCTACAAAAACAACACTTTCGCACCCTCTAGTGTCAGCCACTGGTGAGACGTTCTTCTATAAATGGTCAGGGGGGAGGAGCCTCTCTCAACAGATCGTGTAGCTACTCTGGCGTCTCCAAGGTAACTGGGGAACAGCTGTGCGGCCGTGGAACGCACACCTCGGAAGTTTTTAAGCCACAGGGCGGAAGTGAGAGGAGAGTTTCCGGTACTGGGCAAAAATTATGATAGAGTAGACAGGCAGCTGGTTGTAGCTAACAATGTTCATATTCTGTTTATTTTTATTGTGTTATCATTAATTATACTTATTATTATTATTAACATTCTTCTCTTTTATCAATAATATATAATAATTTGGTGGTCAAATTAATGTTTGTCCTATCATATTAGTACTTTGTCCCTCTCATCTTTCACCAAAGGGGAAGTGATTTCTGAATGGGGACTGATCAGCTTGGGGGCGGAGCTTGAGGTGCTCCTTGTTTAACCATTAAGGAGAATTCAGCTCTTATTACACACCTGTCATGTGACAAGTTATCATGTCCGTCCCTATGACTCCCGAGAGCCCGACATCATCTCATGGCAACAGAGAGATCATGTGATACCAGCAGGCATTTTCCTAGATATGTGCATGTACTTCTATTGCAGAAGGCTTAATATAGTTGGCCCCTCCCACGAGGAGCAGAGTCATCACTGAAGATGGAGAAAAAGAGGACCATGACCGAAAGGATATTACGACTCACCCTGGAGATCCTCTACATACTTACTGGAGAGGTGAGGAGGATTCTGGGAGGTCACATGACATCACTCTTAATTTGCCCTCAGTGACTGACGTGGCAATAATTATTGTAATATTTTATGTAGAATTATGGACCAACAAAGAAGCTGAATAACACCACGGACCCTCCGCCTCCCTCCCTGACCTCTGAGAGAGACAACGATTCAGACCCGTCCTCTGTATTCCCGGGATTCCACACAGGAACATCAGGAGATCCCTCAGGCCCGTCTTCTGTATTCCCGGGACTCCATAGAAGACCACAGCCTACCACGGGATTGCCATGTGAGTAAAGTTAGGTTGCTTATGGTGGTGCCACCAGGTCACCAGGACTTATCCACGCCTGTTTATTAAAAGAGCCTTGTGTCTTATCCAGGGTAAGGACCTGATTGTCATCAAGGTTGAACCTGTAGATGATGAGGGGAAGAAAATCTCTCCAGCGATCAGCACAGGTGAGGAATAAACAGTCCTACATTCCCCTTGTTCAGTCACGAACACAACTTTGCTGATATGATCCATTTCAGGGGCAGGGAACCCCGGAGAGGTGGAGATCTACTTTAAAAACACAGAAGCAACTAAACCGCATAAGGGGTTAGGCCAGTTGGGGATGTGCAGGGGTCAAATTTAAAGGGGAGCTTGGCCAGATTAAAGTGGGTGTGGTCATTGATGATAGGGCAAGAAGATAAATCATGCTTCGGTTGTCAGTGCCCCTCACATTGGTGGTCAATGGGGAGACCCAATAACATCTCCTCATACATTGGTGGGTAGGGGGTCCCCTGTTATAGTGATATCATTTTACTGCTCCCCATTATAGTGCTGCTCATCGATATAGTATTAGTAAGTACCCCCAGTGTCACCATTATGTCCCCCC